TCCGCCCCAGCCCCGAGCTTCAATGGCTGGGTTTACCCTGGAAAAGGCCTGACATACTCATAACATTGGTGATGAAGGCTGGGGAGAAGACTTGGTGCAGGACAGTCTGCGGGAAATGGCTAAGCTGAAACATGGACATGAGGATGTTGACGGTCGCCAGGGGTGAGCTGCCAGCTTTCTGCTCCAGGATGGCCTCCAGCTTGGGGAAGAGCTCGCTGTGGTTGGATGGGCGGTAATTCATGCGGCTGAAGGGAAACACCAGCTTCTGGATCACCTGCGGGCAGGAGGAGAGGGAGTCGGGCCAGGCCAGGCCGCGGAATGAGGGACAGGTCAGGCACTCACAACCCGTAAGGACTGGGGCACATCCCCGTCAGTCCCCAGTGCGATGCCCCAGCCTGATGGTGGAGAAGGGATGTGGTTCCCCCCAGCCCCAGGCATCCCCCGCAGACTGGGGAGGACACTCACCTTGCTGTCGAGCTGCTCCCCACGCTTCAGGAGAAAGTTTGCGATGGTATCAAGCAGCCGTGGCTCGCGCAGCCGGTGCCGGGCCACGTACTTGGCAATGAGGGCCATGGTGTAGGGGGTGAGGTTCTCCGCCTTCCTGGGGAGCCACTCTGAACAGAGCAAACCACAGCGGGGTATCCGTCAGAGAGGCCTGGCTCTGTCCGAACTGCAGCTCTCCAGAAGCCACTACAGCCTGGGCAGGAAAGGCAGTGCAGGCAGGTGGGCGGTAACAGAGCCATCTCTCTCCTGAAACCACCAAGTTACGGGGCTTGCGAGAGGCTGAGGCAGATTCCCACCCCGTGCACCCAGAAGGCACAGCTGGGGCGCAGCTGAAACGGGGGGCCCTTCTGTGGAAACCCCAGCAAAACCACCCTGCTCCCAGTCTGGAGGTAAGGTAGGCTCACAGCCCCTGGGAGGGCTAGGCTGGGAAGGCAGTGACAGGGTGGCCAGAACACAGAGCACCTCCCGCTCCAGCCTCACTGCTGCAGGCCCTGGTGCCCAGCAAAGCCCCAGCTGGTGCTGTCGCAAACCCAGTGGCCGCCGGGGCCACGAAAGGAGGCTCCAAGGCTGCCAGACACACGGACAGCGCCCAGCGCGCCCCGTACCGGGGAGGGGGGCTCACACAGTGGGCAAGGCTGGGACCCTGCCTGGGCAGACCCTGCCCTCACCTGCCATACTGCGGATGAATCGCTCTTGGCGGTTCTCGTAGAAGAGCTGAGAGCTGAAGATGGCCTCCAGGGCCTTGTTGTTCGCCTCCTGGGCACACAGAGCCAGCATCTCGTCCAAGAGGGCCAGCTCGTGCTCCCGCATGGCACTCACTTGCCCCAGCGTGTGCCTGACGAGGCGCAGGATCTTGCGGTTGTTGATCAGCTGCTGGTCGGAGGCCGGGTGTCCCTGCAGCGCCTGCGCCCGCAGCCGGTAGTAGGAGAGGAGCAGGAAGAGGGTCTGGGGGTGTCGCTCCTTCTCCAGGTGCCGCTCCAAGCTGCTGAGGCAAGACTCGACCAGGGGGTGGGGGCTGGACGGGTGCAGCCTCATCACGCTGCTGAAGACCATGGAGACGTCCTTCTGGTTGAAGCGCCCCAGGCGGCTCCGGGATTCGTCCTCCAGCACTCGCACCAGCGGCGATTCCCCAGGCAGGCCTGCGACAGCGAAGGGATTAGGGACACCCGAACCCCACCTCTCGCCTTCGCTAGGCACAACTGTCCCCGTAAGCGCAGGCACGGGACTACAGCCGGAGGAGGACGGATTTGCCATGTCGGTGAACAAACCACAGACGAGACAGGGAGAGAGGACCGGTTTGGCAAAGCCCGATTGGAACATCAGTGCATCTGCACCCCGGAAAAAGTAATCTGGATTATTCCTACCCACTTCACCAAAACGGAAATCCTTTAGTTCATCTGCAAAAGCCAGCTTCTAGATAAATATCACACCTCGAAAAGTACTTTAAAAAAAGTTTTGGTTGGAGCACAAATAAGACATCCACACGTTAACAAAATAAAAACTGTCCACGTATGACAGGAATTAATCCTTTCTCATTTCTAACCACCTCCCATTTTCTAGTTTAGCTTCAGTCTTTCAAACTTGGCTCCTGGGGAAAATACTTTCCTCCAACTCCGGACGTATTATTCAACCACGGGAAGACCAGAGGCCAGGCGCGCAGTGCGGTGACGAAAAAAGGCAAAGGCCATCCTTCGCGTGTCAGGAGAGATATTTTCAGGAGATGCATGAAGCATTATGCACCGTATGAGGCCCTGGTAGCCCACTGGTCTCCTAAGCCAGCTGACAAGATTTCAATTTTCAAAAGGGCTTTAAAGCAACTAAGGCAGCATGGGGTAAGTTGCTGCGTTTTATCATTAATCAAAAATGAGTCAGAAGGTGGAAAGTGAAGAATTGGTCTGAGCAGCTGCTTTGTTCCTTAAAAAAGGCCTCAAAAAGGCAGGTTAGCATTTTTATTAATGAGCGGGTAAGCGTGGTGAGCAGGGAAGGGCGACTGAGGGAGAACAAAGTGTGGGTCAAAACCAGAGAAGGCTGGGGGGAGCCCAGCTGAGGGGAGAGGTGCCTGGCAGCCCAGAGTTCAGTGTCAACAAACACAAGGCGCCGTGAGACAGAGCGGGGAAGAGCAGAAACTTCTCCCCGCCCCACTTCAGCCGGGTCTAGAGTTACTGCACAACCCACAGCCAGGACCAGGTGTCTCCGTACACGGCTCAGCCGAGGCACCAGCCCAGCGTGTGGCTGTGGTGGGGGGAAAAAAAAAAGGCAAACAGAACGGCAGGAGACATGCGTGTGGGACAGAGGAGCGTGGGGCTGGCAGGAACCGCGGCAGTGGGAAGGGCAGGCAGGACACCGCCAGACCTGACCCCTTCCTCACAGGCAGGAGAATCCGTGGGGGCCTTGGGGGCCCCGGCCCCACAAAGGGGGAGCCCCCCAGACGCCACGCACCAGTTGGCCCAGAGGCTGCTGCTGCTGCACAGGAACTCAAACCGGCTTGAACCTCTTCTCCTGAATATTAAACACCCAATGACAGAGGGCTCATGGCTTGCAGAGGGTTCAGCTGAGACCTCGTGTCTCGCACTTCCGTGCGCAGACATTTGCTGATTTTCACGGACTGGAACAAAACTCAAGGAGCGGTTTATCCCGCATCCTGCCAGGCGGCACCGGCCACCGCTTGGGCTGCCCTTCTCGCCCACATGCCAGGTGCTCTAGCCAACCGAGCCCCCCCGGAGCTGTCAGTCCACCCGAGTCCCTTCCTGCTGCATACCCCAAGCAGAGCTGCCTGCCCCTCCGAAGGGCACAGCTCCACCTGCCACAAAGCCACCATCATGCGTAAATCCACACACAAACCCAGACACCGGCTCCTGCCCCGGCACATCCTGCCTTCTTCTGCGGCAACCAGACCGGCAAGTTCTCCTTTCACCTCACAGACCCAAGCACTGGCCCGTGTCCTGCCACCCTGCCTGCCTCCCCTCGTCTCTGTCCCCGCAGAAACCGGCAGCCCAGGACACTCACCCAGCGCAGCAGCGGCATACAGGCAGTTGACAATGCTGAAGTTATCGAACTTGGAGCAGCCGCTGATGATGGCCTGACAGAGAGTCTGAAACTCCGGCTGCTCCAGCATCTGGCTGGGCCCACGGCTCTCCCCGTTCACCGCGGCCTGGCCCTGCTGCTGCTGCAAGAGCTGGCCCAGCTTGTGCAGGGCGATGGGGTAGTGGCTGGCGGACACCTTGCTGGGGTTCTGTGTGACCCACCGCAGCACTTCCCCCACGCTGCGCGAGCGCTCTATCAGACGCTTCATCGTGAAGAAGGTGTCATAGCTCATCTTCTCGTGGATGAAGTTCCAGCTCTTCCTCTTGCCATGGCCTCGAGTCCTGTAGGCGTCCGGGGGAAAGGTGTGCAGCAGCCCATGGCCGTAGGGGTCCAGGGGCAGCAGCACAGCCCGCTGCTTCGCTTTGCCTGCACAGTAGCAGGTGGGATACATCCCGGCCCCGCTCCTGTCACCAGCAGCCAGGCCCGGCAGCACTCCGGGCCGCACGCTCTCCCGGGTCAGAGCACGGAGCCATGGCAGCAGGCGCAGCATGGCGAGGGCAGGGCGGCTCGAGAGGCTTCGGAGAACCGGGAGACCCTGGGGATGAGGGGGGGGGGGGGTCAGCTTGCGCCCCCGGGACCGCCGGAGCCAGCAAGGGATGCACGGAGCCCACACCGGGACCCCCTACCCGCACGGACCCGGTGCGGGGGTACCTGCCCCACACAGCCCCCCCCCCCCCCCCCCCCCCCCCGTTCTGAGGTTCGCCCACCCTCAGACCCCCCCTCGGTACCGGGACCCGCCGCCCTCCCGAAGCTCGGCCCAAGGCCCCTGGCCCGCACCAGCTCCGTTGTCCAGGGACCGCAGGCCTGCAGGGGCACCCCCCACCGGCACGTCCCCTCCCGGGGGGCCCCCAGCGCGCACAGATGCTCCCCCCGGTCCCAGGACCCCAGTGCCGCCCCGATCTTCTCCTCCCCCGGTACCGGGACCCCCGGGCCGGGCTGGGCCCCGACACCTGGCCGGCCCGGGCCCCCCCCCCCACCCCTGGGGGTCCCCCATCGCCACCCCCCATGGCCCCGGGGGCCCCCCCGGCCCCCGGCCCGGCCCTACATGGCGCTCACGGCCGCGCTGGGACCCGCCGCCGCCCCGGGCGCTCAGCACCGCCCGGGCCCCGCGTCCGCCATCTTCCCGACAGCCCCCGCCGGCCTGAGGGGACCCGCAGCCACACCCCCCTCCGCGCGCGCGCGCAACACACGCTTCCGGGGGCGGAGCCGAGCGCGTATGCAAATAGCCGCCCGCCGTCCAATGAGGGCGGGGCGGTCCTGCCGGCGCAGGCGCGCTGCGGCCATGCGGAACTCCCGTTACCGCCGGGGACGCCCCGCCTCCCCGTGGAGCCCCGCCCCTCCGGTGTCCTGACACCCCCCCCCCCCCCCCCCCCCCCCCTCCCGCGGCGCAGCAGAACCGGGAGCCGCGGCCGTTCACAGTCCGTCCTCTTTAATCGTAACAGAACATCGGGGAGCGCGGACCCCCCCGCCGGCACCCCCGGGAGGCCCGACCGCCCGTTCCCCGCCCCCCCGCCCCGGGGGAAGCAGACACAGTCCCGGGCAGAAGCAGCGCGCCGGGGGCCGCGGGGCGCCAAGGGGACACCCCGCACAGGGATGGGGTGGGGGGGCGGCACCGGGACCCCCCCCCCCCCTCCTCTCCACAGAAGCAGCACAGCGCTCACTCCCGCAGCAGTCCCGGTACCACCGCCCCTGGGGGGGGGCACAGTCCGCACCCAGCCCCTGGGTCCCACCACCCCTGGGGGGGCACAGTCCGCACCCAGCCCCTGGGTCCCACCGCCCCTGGGGGGGCACAGTCCGCACCCAGCCCCTGGGTCCCACCGCCCCTGGGGGGGCACAGTCCGCACCCAGCCCCTGGGTCCCACTGCCCCTGGGGGGGCACAGTCCGCACCCAGCCCCTGGGTCCCACCGCCCCTGGGGGGGCACAGTCCGCACCCACCCCCTGGGGGGGCACAGTCTGCATCCAGTCCCCATGTCAGCACAGTCCGCGCCCATCCCCCAGGTCCCACTGCCCCCGGAGGGGCACAGTCCCTCCCACCCCCAGGTTCAGGTGTGCGGGCAGACCCCACCCGGGTGTGGTGGCTCCTCTCGGGGCGCGGGGCCGTGCTATCTGCGGTACATGGTGAAGGCCATGAAGCTGAAGAGGAGGGTGAGGCCCGCCAGGAAGGTGGTGGCGGTGGCGGTGAAGACGTGGCGGTACTGCAGCTGGAAGTACCAGAGCACGGCCAGCATCAGCACGAAGAGCGGCAGCATGAGGCTGCCCACATTGAGGGCGGCGTGCACGGGGTCGGCGGAGGCGTGGGGGCCGGCAGGTGCGGGGGCCGGGCTGTGCTGGGAGATGTGGCAGTGCAGGACGCTGTTGTGGGTGAGGTGCAGGGCGGCCAGGCTCTGGGTGTCGTCGCGCAGCAGCTGGCCCTGGTAGATTAGCCGCACTTGCTGCTCCTGCCCGGGGAAATACGCCCTGGGGCAAGGGACGGGGAGAGGGAGAGGTCACGCTCCTGCCGGGACAGCGTCCCCCTCCACCCACCCCCCCGCCGGGAGCAAGGTGCAAACGCACCCCCGGGACCCGCGCCCACCCCAGGAGAGACCAGAAGCGAAGGCGCCTGACCGGGCAGAGCCCCCCCAGGAGGGGACCCGCACACGGGCGAGCGCGGCAGCTCCCGGCGGGGCTCGGGGGACGCCCCACTGCCGGGAAAGCCCCGAGCGGCGCTCGCGGGAGAACCGGCCGGTGCTGCCCCTCACCTCTTCAGGGCCCCGACGGTGTCGCCGGGGCGCACCCGGGCCAGGCGCTCCGTGTCGTTGAGGAACTTCAGCCGCAGCACCATAGCGGGCTCGGCCGGGCCGCCGTCCCCCTCGGCGAGGGGGCCCTGTGCGGCCGCGGGGGCGGCCCGGGGGCGCAGCCCCGCCGCCAGCCCTGCCTCCCCCTCGGAGGCCGCTCCGGCCGCCGCCGCCGTCGGGGCTTTGCGGTCGGCGGGGGCCGGCGCAGCGCTCGGGGCCTCCTCGGGCAGCGCCGCGGCATCGCGGGGGGTCGCGGCGGGCTCGGGGGGGCGGGTGGAGGCCCAGGCCAGCCCCAGCACCACGGCGACCAGCAGCAGGCCGAAGAGCACGGTCACCTCGTCGCCGACGCCCTCGATCAGCGCCATGGCGGCGGCGACAACCGAGCGCGGAGCGGGACCGTCAGCCCGCCGGGCCCGAGGCGACCGGAGCCGCAGCCGGCCCCGGCCCCGCGCTCGCCGCCATCGCGCCGCTTCCGCCCCCCGCCGCAGGGCACGCCGGGAGCCGTAGTCGCGCTCCGCGCATGAGCAGAGGAGGCCCTCGCGGTGCACGACGGGGGTTATAGTCTGGTTCTACGCATGCGAGGTGGCGGGGCACGCCGGGAGCTGTAGTCCCGCCCCCGGCGCTGGGCGTGCCTAAGGCACGCCCAGCGCCGGGGGCGGGACTACAGCTCCCGGCGTGCCCCGCGCCATGCTAGGCCTGCGCCGTCGCGCTTCCTCGCTCTGGGCCAGTCTCTCCACCGCCATTACCGGCTTGAGGGACGCCGAGCGCTGCTGGGGCAGGCGGAGGAAGGGGCTGCAGCGGGGACGGCGGCTGGGGCTGGGCTCGAAGGAGGGAAGGGAGGCGTTCGAGTGTTGGCGTTAACGCGGTGGGGCTTGGCCAGGCCTGGGGGGGAAAGGATTGCCGTTGGGGCCAGCGATAGATTAGGAGTAGCATAGACTAGAATAGCCTAGCATAAATAGAACATTTCAGTTGGGAGGGACCTACAACAGTCATTTAGTCCAGCTGCCTGACCGCTTCAGGGCTGACCACAAGTTAAAGCTTGTTGTTAAGGGCGGTTGTCCACACGCCCCTGCAACACCGACAGGTCCTGGGGCATCGACCACTTCTCCAGGAAGCCCGTTCCGGGGTTTGACCACCCTCTGGGTAAGGAAATGCTTCCGCATGTCAAGTATAAACCTCCCTGGTGCAGATTTGAACCATTCCCAGCCGTCCCGTCCCTGGATCGTGGGGAGGTGAGCTCAGCTCCCTCTCCACATCCCCTCCGCAGGGAGCTGCAGACAGCAAGGAGGTCGCTCCTCAGCCTGCTTCTCCCCACGCTGGACAAATCCAGCCCTCAGCCACTCCTCACAGGACAGCCCTTCCAGCCCTCTCGCCAGCTTTATTGCCCCCTGGGCTCATTCAAGGACCTTCACACCCTTCCCGTGTTGTGGTGCCCAGCACTGCCCGCAATATTCCAGGTGAGGCCGCACCAGCGCTGGGCACAGTGGGACAATCCCCTCTCTTGCCCGGCTGGTTACGCCGTGTTTGACGCACCCCAGGGTGCGGTTTGCCCTCTCGGTTCCTATTGACCCTGCTGCCCACCAGCACCCCCAAACCCCCATCTGCAGGGGTGCGCCCCCGCCGTTCCCTTCCCAATTCATGGGATGTCTTTGGAAAACTGTTGGAGCGGGGCCAGAGGAGGCCACAGGAATGCTGGGGGGGCTGGAGCAGCTCCCCTGGGGGGCCGGGCTGAGAGAGTTGGGGGGGTTCAGCCTGGAGAAGAGAAGGCTCCGGGGAGACCCTGAGAGTGGCCTCCCAGCACTTAAAGGGGGCTTAGGAGAAAGAAGGAGAGAGGCTTTTTAACAGGGCCTGTAGTGCCAGGACAAAGGGTACTGTTTTTAACCTAAAAGAGGACAGATTCAGACCAGGTAAAAGGAAGAAGTTTTTTACAGTGAGGGTGGTAACACACTGGATCAGGTTGCCCAGAGTGGTGTACCTGCTCCTTGCAGGGGGATTGGGCTAGATGACCTTTAAAGGTCCCTTCCAACCCAAACCTTTCTGTGATGATTCGATGAAACCCTTCAGATGAAATTTCTTGTGCAACTGAAGGAGCATGAACTTGTCGGTTCTGCTTAAGAGCAAAAATATTTTTATCATTTAATCAATATCCTGTTCTTTGCTTTATATATAGAAAAGTGGTGAAAAGTCTAGAGAACAAGTCCTGTGAGGAGCAGCAGAGCGAACTGGGGTTGTTTAGCCTGGAGAAAAGGAGGCTGGGGGGAGACCCCATCGTGCTCTACAGGTACCTGAAGGGAGGTTGTGGCGAGGTGGAGGTTGGACTCTTCCCAAATAACAAGTGATAGGACAAGATGAAATGGCCTTAAGTTGCACCAGGGGAGGTTTAGATTGGATATTAGGAAAATATTCCTTCACTGAAAGGGTTTTCAAGCACTGGAACAGGCTGCCCAGGGAAGGGGTTGAGTCACCATCCCTGGAGGGATTTAAAAGATGTGTAGACATGGCGTTTAGCAATATGATTTAGTGGTGGCAGTGTTAGGTTTATGGTTGGACTCAGTGATCTTGAGGGTCTTTGCCAACTTCGATGATTCTGTGATTCTAAAAGAAGGTGGGCAATCGGTGAGGGACAGCAAATTCTGCAGGCAGAGCCCGTTGCTGGAGGAGCTGTGCTCTGGCAAAGACATGGTCTCTGGCAGGGAGCAAGTGGGTTGTGCAGCACAGAGATAACGCGGGGAATGGGAGAAGCTGCAGGCTAAAACTGACAGAGCTGCTGTGATCCTTTGGGGGACACTGATTCCCCAGATGCATTTAAACCTACCTGCAGGCTTCATGAAGAAGGAAAGTTTGAAAGACAGATGGAAAAAATAGTGTGGAGTAGTTTTTGTCTCCAACTTGGTTTTGATATTCAAAGATGTTTTAGATATCCTAAAATCTCTCCTGGCTGATTACTATTTGGTATTAAGCCTTCATGCTGGAAAATCAACTTTTCTGTGTTCCTGAAAAGCATTCAGATAATTTTTAAGTGAAAAGGCTGCCCTCCAGATGAGACGGCGTGGGGGCGACTCGTGGAAAGAAAAACCCTACAACACCCATAAAGGAACAAAGGTGAAAGGGAGATCTTTGGCCGACAATATCCCCTTCCCCCAGGGCATCACCTCCAAGGGTCCGTCACTTCAATGGCACAAGATACTTCCTATAATAAACCGAGGAGGAATCTGCTAAGGGCAGCAGTGTGCTAGCTGCAGCATCCTTTCTGCTGGGGTGGGTCGGGGAGCGGCAGTGATTCCAGGGAGCTGATGGCTCCAAGGAATTAATTATTGTCCCTTCTGGGCTCCTGTGTCCAAACTGCCTCCAGTTTGGAAGGCCTGGTGTGGGGCTGGGGGTGGGCCGGGCCTCCTGGCTCCGGCCCCGGCTGGAATCCCAGTTCAGGTCCGTGACTGGGAGTCCCAGGATCGGGGTGTGGAGCCTGAGGTGGTGATTCTCTCAGCGGCCTCCTTCAGTCCTGATCTGCATTCTTCATCCCTGTTTTCAGTTTGTCATTAGACTGCAGCAATGCAGATTGATGAGATGTGTGATAGGAGAGCTTAAGGCTCCAGGCAGTGTAATTGTAATATTAGCATTAGCAGGAGGCACTGCAAACATAAAATTTGTTTTCTGTGTACAGCTGTCTTGCAGAACTTGAGAGCAGAACTCGTCCTGCGATCACAGGGAGCTAAGTCTTTAATGACCTGCAAATAGCACCGAGAGCTGAAAAGTGGGACTGCCAAAGCCGAATCTCTACACAGCAGAATTTAAAAATAGGCTGCTGCTGGCGTTCTCGCTTACCCGTCGCTCCTGGAAGCCCACGGGGAGAGCGGCTCTCCAGCAGAGGAGAGACGCAGTCCCCTGACGTAACTTGCCTCGGCATCTACACCGCAGAGCAGGAAGTTGCAGATTCAGTCATTTTACACCAGAGCAGCCCTGATTGTTGTCTGCTTCTTTTCCAGCGCCAGGTCTTTGCCAGGTGCTGACTCCTCTCTCCTCTCCCCGGAGCAATGAGGCAGTGGGGGCACCAGGCAGACCCCCCCTCGCCCGTGGTGCTGCCATCCCGGCGGGGCCGAGGAGTCCCTTTAGCTCAGCATCGTCAGCGCCTCCAGCGAAGCTCAGCACGTGTGGGAGTAGAGACACGGGAGAGATGAACGCCTCTGCGGACGAAAATGCTCTTCAGAAGCTCCCACCAACAGCGAGAGGTGTCAGCCCCAGTCAAAGACGGGGAGACGTGTTGTGGGGAAAGCAGTTGGGGCAGAAAAAATGCTCGAGGGTGGGAGCATGGGGAGTTGGGGGTGCTGAGCTGCGTCTCTAGGCGAGGATGAGCTCTGCATTTACAAAGGGCTGCAGAGAGCCAGGCCGTGAGACACCCCGTCCCCGTCACGAGCGAGGGGTCTGTGACAAGACCCCAAGGAGCCCCCCCTGCACACCGCAGCCCCCCTGGGGACCCGCAGCAGGAGGGTCCCCAGCGCCGCGTGCTGAGGGGCTGGAGGAGATGGGCAGCCACGGGCCGAGCAGGGGGGTCCCGGCGGCAGAGGTGGGCAGCACCCATGGGTGCAGAGGCTGCAGGGGAGCAGGTGGTGCTGCTCGACCTGCCTGGGGCACTCGGGCTGACGGGACCCCCTGCCCCGAGGTGCCGCGGGGGTGGCGGGGCACTGCTCTCCCCCCCAGCACTGAGCCACCAGCGTGGTGCGGGGGGCAGAGGCGAGAGGAGCTGCCCCTTCCCTTGGTCACTAAGGCTGAGGCCAAAAATGCCGGGCAAACCCCCGGTCTGCCCCTGGGGGGTGTCCCATGGGGAAACAAGGGGTGAGGCTGGGGCCGGGTGGCTGCAGAGGGCTGGCACACGGCGCCTGGAAGAGTCCCGGGGACCTGGAAGGTGGGAAGAAATCAGTCGAGCTCGATGCACCCGTCGGGGACTGCAAAAGGGAGGATTTTAGTAGCGGTGATTTGGCTGAAGGCAGGAGTAGAGGATGCAGCTTTGGGGACCTACTGGAGGAAAGGCAGAGCAAGTCGCCAAGACTGGAGAAGAGGCTCCTGCAAAAATGGAAGAGAAGCTCCCGAGCATGTAAGAGTGCTGGATGCAAGGATGCAAAAGAGGCAGCAGATTTGAAAAATACGTATACTGTGTAGGAAGCAGAAACAGAGATTTATAACTTCCAGGATGTAGAAAATAAGCCATGTCTGAACAAAATCATTTGAGTGGTTATGACTGTTCAAATTTAATGCATTTTATCCAGTGGTTAATCACCCTCGCTGATAAAATTTTGTGTCTAATTTTCAGTGTGGATTTGTCTGGTTTCAGCTTCCAGAGATTGAGTCTTTTTATATCTTCCCTGGCTCGATTAAAGAGCCATTTAATATTTCCCTATGAAAGAACTTCTACAGTGTAATCAAGTCACCCCTCAATCTTCTTTTGGATAAGCTGAACAGATTGTGCTCTTTAAATCTTCTGCTGTAAGGCACTCGCTCTAGCCCTCAAATCATTCTGCGTGGGTCTTTTCAGAATCTCTTTGATTTTTTCAATATTCTTCTAAAATACTGTTAATATAAAGTGATACCCAGTTCTAGAGCGCTGCCGCTCCAGCACGGCACGAGGCGAGGTCAGCCCCTGCCCTGCCCGGGGCTGCCCGTGCCCCTCGGGGGATCGGCCCGTGCCGCTCGGCGCCTGTGTGCCGTTGGGATGCGCGCGATGGAGTCGGAAAACGGGACACAACCGCTGCCCGTTGCGCCGCTCGTGCCTCCGGCCAGGCTCGGGGGAGGGCAGGGCGACAGCGCAGAGCCCGGCAGCGTCTCCGGCACAGGCCCGTGTGGGGCTGCACCAGCGACCTCCCCGTGGCAAGAGCTGACCTCTGCGAGTGCCTCAGCGTCCAGGCTTCTGGGAAACCATCTTTTCCCCGCGTGTAACCTCTCTGCTCTCTCTTCGGGGCTCTCCGCAAGGTCAGGGCTTCTCTGCACAGCGGCCGCCCCCGCCATCCCCCCGTGGATCGCATCTGCCCAGCCTGCGGTAGCTTTACTCACCGCAGCTCCTGCTCGTTTGCTCCTTGCAGCTGCTGGACCTGCAGGATTTCCCGGGAGCTGGGGGTCCCAAGAGTTCCCTTGAGCCCTTAATGGACGGCGTCACTCTTGGGGCCCTCCACCACCCAGGGCCCCACCAGGTACCGAGGCAGCTGCGAGTAAAAGAACCCGGTAACTCCGGTCGTGCATCCTGGGGGCGCTGCCCCACCACCTCCGCTCCTCTGGTGTCCTCTGCGGCCGCTGCCTTTCCGAACGCATCCTCTGCTGTGCCCCTGCAAAGAGGGGTCCCTGCAGGGTAACCCCCTCCAATTGCTTCCCAGTGAACACTGATGCAAAAAGTAGGTTTGGCTTCTCTGCAGCAGCCCTGTCCTCTCGGTTCACCTTGCACGCCCGGGCATCCGTTGGCCCTGCAGGCTTCTGGAAGGTGTCCTGCTCCCGATGCGTCTGAAGAAAGAGGCTCTAACCTCTTTGCGAGTTGTTTCTCAGAGCGATCTCACTGCCTTGTTTTCTTTATGCATTTAATCCGCCAGGGTTTACGGTCCCCTCCGTTTCCTCCTCCGCTCACAATTTCGCCTCTCCAAAGGATGCTTCAGCGTGTCTGCCTGCGTCCCCCACCCTGCTGCTGGGCTGTGCCAGCTCCATCCCTCCTCGTCCGCCGTCCTTGCTGGGCCTCGCTGGCCCCGTGCCCCCGGGGAGGTGCAGGGGAGGGTTTAATTCTCCTCGCTGCCATTTTTAGCTTCTTTATAACAACAGCACGTGTGCCTGCACAGTTCACCTCCCGTGGACGGGCGGTCTCTAACTAAAGAGAGGGGTCACAGAGGGATCCTCACCCCGTGGGAGAAGGTCCAGCCATGGGGCGCTGGTGGGACTGGGGCACTGCCCCGTGACCAGGCATGCACGGTGGGGCATCCCTGTGGAGGCAGGACCTCTCCGGCCACCCACCCCCTCCGCCAAGGAGAAGGCACCGGCGTGCTGCACGCCTCGAATTGCGACTGGATCTGCAGGAGCAGGACGTGTGCCAGCGGGTCGCTGGGTACCCGCGGCGCGTCCTCAGATGGCCGGTCGCTTGGAGGCAGGTCGCAGGAAGAGTCACAGGCGACGGGGAAAGCGAACTGTGGGTCACCACTTCTCGAGACCAAGAGCCGAGGCTGCATCGGCTTCCCAGGCGCCGTCCCCAGCACAGCCCCACGTGGGGAGCTCGGGGGGCTCCTTCGCCCTGCACCCCTCCAGCCTCGGCTTCTCGCCGGGTCAGGGCTTGTCCTCAGCCCTCTGCAGACACTGCTGTGGCTTTGCCAGGTCCAGCGGCTGTTTCCTGCGCTTGATCCAACCATTAGCAAATCATTAGCACAGCAGTGGCAAATGCTGTTTCTCACCTGTCAAGCTCTGCTCAAGCCTCTACGTGGAACAGCTTCATACACTCAACTGTATATTTTGGATTTGCAATTTGCTTGCTGCCCGATGGCCGTACTTTGCACAGACATGGATGGGATCAATACATGCAGTTACCTCCAAGCTCCAGAGTAAGATCAAAGAGCTGCAGCTATTCTGGGGAAAAGCTCTTGGCCTGATCCCTGGCCCAAAGAGGACCGTTATTGTGACTCGAAGGTGACATCTCTTTACTAAATACCCCCTTCCCCACCAGGCTACTGCCACTAACTGCCTGCTTTGTAGCAGGAGGCACAGCAGAGGAAAGTCCTGATGGATTTGGGAAGAAGAGCCTCTAGCCTTACGGGGTGTGTGCGGAGGGCCGAGCAGCCCGAGCCTGCCCAGGGCTGTGGCCATGGGGAGGGGACGAGGTCTCCTGCCCTTCAGGACCGATGCTCTCTGGGGCTTCGAGGGCAGTGGGGCAGCCTGCGGCACCGTCTGGCGTCCGTGTAGGGCCCACGGCCGCGGCCCCACGGCGCAGGGGGCGGGCGGGACGGCTCCCTCCCGGGAGCGGCCACGCAGCGAGCCGGGGCCAGCGCTGGCCAGGCTGACACGGGCCCTTCTGCTGCGGCTGGTCCGGCCCGTGGGCAGCGAGGTGCTGGAGCGGCTGGTCTGGGGGTGGCAGTGATGGGAGGAGGGGGAGGAGAGGGAGGATGAGGATGAGGTGGAAGAGGAGAGGGAGGGGATGAAGATGATGAGGAGGAGGAGTTGGAGAAGGAAGAGGAGGATGAGGATGAGGTGGAGGAGGAGGAGAGGGAGGAGATGAAGATGAGGAGGAGGTGGAGAAGGAAGAGGAGGATGAGGTGGAGGAGGAGGAGAGGGAGGGGATGAAGATGAGGAGGTGGAGAAGGAAGAGGAGGAGGAGGTGGAGGAGGAGGAGAGGGAGGGGATGAAGATGAGGAGGAGGTGGAGAAGGAGGAGGAGGAGGCATCACTCCTCTTGGCAGCGGCGCTGCTTTGAAGCACTTGCGAACGGCAGCGTCAGATGGAAGTGCTGCAGATGGAGAGCGCCTCTGAGCTGAGAAAGTCGGGTTTCAGAGCATGAAATTCACCCTAAAAAACTGTTTCCATTTCCCCATGGCCGCTGTCCACAGAAAGCATCCATCCGACCATCCTTGAGTGCATTTTTATTCCAGAAAGCCCCGGGCTCTTCTCTCCCCGCGAGCTCTCGCCTTCCTCCCCCACTTCCCCTGTTCTGAAGTCATGCGATGCGGCCTCTCGGTACATTTAAGTTCTCTCATGATTTTTTTTCTTCCTTATCTGTGATAAGTCCCAGCTCCATCTGTTTGCCTGCAATTAATGTGGGCTCCTCTCTCCCTGATCTCGCTCTGCCTTTGCAGTAACTCGGGGCTCTGGTTCTCCAGCGCCGGCAGCGCTGTGGGCACCGGTGCCGGAGCTGCCCCGGCCGCACCGCAGACTGGGGCAGTGGGGGGGGGGGGTCCCCTTGGCCCCCGCGCAGGCTTGGGCAGGGGGTTGCGGCTGCCTGTGCCTGGCCCCATCCCTGCGCCCCACGTCCCGCCTGGGACCCCCCGGGCGGTGGGAGGTGGTGGGGACGCGCGGGGCCCCCGGCACTGGGGGATGCTGGAGGCCCAGCGGGGAAGCGGCCGCGGAGCTGCCCTGCGGCAGGGGTGCTTTCCTGATCGCTTCTGCAGCTCCTGTCGCCTTCGGGACGTCGGCTCGGGGTGGTCTGTGAGCCAGACCAGCAGCCGGGGCTGCTGCGGGGGGAGCATCCCACATCTCTGGAGGCCAACCGGGACCGCAGGGGCCAGAACAACCTCCTGTCCAGAACATCCCTTCATAAACAACCGAGAAACTGCGAGAGTGCGGGAAGCGAGGCGGCGCGGGTGGCCGGCGGCGTGGGGGCCGCCAGTGCCCACGCCTCAGGAGAAAGTCGCATCAGACCATCGCAGCGGACTCCGAGGGTGTGAGGGAGGGATGAAGGACGTCCAGCCACCCGCCGGGGACAAATCCCGACACCATCTCTGGTCGCGTCTCGGCGGCCACCCGTGGGTGCTGGTGAAGGGGCTGGGTGCAGGAGGGGCTGGGTGCTGCCTGCAAGGAGGGTGCTGGGGGTGCACGGGGGGAGCCGAGCCTGGTGCTGCTGTGCCGGCCCCGGGCAGCGCGGGTCGGGGCGAGGACACCCGCAGCGGGACTGGCTGGGAAGGGGTCGGCACGGAGCGGGGCTGCGAGCGCTTGGGGTGTGCCTGGGATATACGAAGGAGGCTTCAACAGGGGAGGGGGGCCCTGCGTGACGAGGAGGATCTGCAGGAATGGGGGAGCATCCGTACGAGATCTGCAAAACTGCTCAGGGGCCACGAGCGCCTGATTCAGAAGACAAGCTCAAACGCTTGGGCTTGTTGCAGCTGGGAAAGGAGAGGACTGCAATGACTTTGCTTGTATAGAAATACGGAGAAAACTGATGAGAAGAGGAGGGAATAATTTAGAAAGGAAAAGGAGTCATCTGCTGAAGATCCAGAAAGGGAACTTAAAGTTTGTTAATTTCCTAAGAATAACTGATCCCCGGAATAGAGCAAAAGTTGTCAGATCTCTGTCACCAGCAGTTTGTAAGGGCAGGCTAAATATTCTCAGGAACCTGGTCAGAAAACAGAGCCTGGCCTGGGACAAGGGGACAAATGACAACGGCTTTTTGCAGCCCTTTCCAGCACCATTGTCTAGTTCCTTCTTCTTTTTCATTCTTTTACAATAAGGAAAGTATTTCACTAGTTTATTTTTTAAATTCACGTGTGTATGCAGTTCTGTTTATCTTGGCGAAGGCAGGCTGGAGAAGGTGGGAGGTGAGCAGGTGAGTTCAGTGACAGCCACGGGCTGTTAGTG